TCGTCTAGCGTATGTGGATAAAGCCCATCATATGACTGCATGCTCTACACATCAGTCTAATCATACGGAAGAAATGATCACAGGCCAGGAAATCACAGCGCCAGGCAAACGGAAACATTCCTTCTGCACCGACTTAAGCCAATCACTTCCTCTACATTCTTTCTTTTTTTTTTCAAATCACTGCTTTCACCTCTCTTGATCCCTGTCTGTCTTCTTGTAACCCATTACATTGAAAAGTTCAAATTATCACCAAACCAGTCTAGTCTGTGTTACGCAGCAGATCAGATACGCTCTGTTCAGTGAAGCAGTGAATATCTAATGTACCTATAATGCCTGTTCTTTCCTCTGCAGTTTATCTCTCCATCACAGAAGCAGCAGGTGAATCAGCCCCACAGCTTTGTTCCTGCAGGAAGAAAGGGATTCACGACCGGTCAAGGTCAAGGTGCAGCTGTAATCCAGACAGCTGTGTTACCAGGGTTTAAGACTAAGTGGAGGTCAACACCGTGTCCACCTGACACTGTTGTTGCCATAACCGTGACCCGTGTGTGGTGGTGAGGACAACTAAACTCTGTCCACCATAACAGTGTGTTTAGATAAGAAGGGTTTCTACATGGTATAAAACATAACAAACAGACATGATGCAGGAAAACCTACTGCAGGTAATTATAACAAATATCTTGTTTATGGAGAAAAACAAGATTTTAACAGTTTTATCAAATGTGGAAAACTTTATTTATTTCATTACTTATTACTATACTCAAAACACTATAGTCGAATCATACTTATCTAATGCAGTCTTTCCCAACCTTTTTTGAGCCACGGCACATACTGTATATATATAATCAGGAAAAACCCCAGGGCACACCAACAAACATAAATCTCACAAAAAGTATATGAAATGAAATATAAAGATATTCTAGTTTAAATGACCCCATAATTGACTAAAACCTCAGCCTGTTTAGTTGAAGACAACACTGACATACTGGCAGGAATTGAAGAAAGACACTTACAAACATAACAGCAATACCTTTTTTTTTTTAGTTTTCTCAACCATCTGCTGCCACCTAGCAGAAAAGGAAAGAAAAATTATATGCAATAAATAAATCATGGTTTTTAGCCGAATTAAGTGAAATTGCATAATTTTTCTACAGCACACCTAATGATTTCTCACGGCACAGTAGTTGGGAATCACTGATCTAATAAATATGCAGTTTTACATTTGTGTTTATTAATCAGTATATGATCACTAGGATCACTTATGTTATTCTGGAACCTCGAACCCTGTCAGACTTTTCAGATTCATGCATTTGAGCCAAGATTTGTGCCACAATCCCAAAAGAAGCCGTAGAGCACAGTGTGTTGTTTGTCACACCCCTGTGTACACCACTGCAGTGCGTTTACAGACTTTCACACACACACACATACAGTACACTCTGCTTATTATTCTTTATTTCTACAGCAGTTGTTTTTGGAGCAGCGTGTGTTCAAACCCATGCCTGAAAAACACTGACATATGTGGATACTGCCGGGGTTCACAATGCTCCTCTGTCCTCCACCTCCGTCACCATCGTCATTATCATCTCCACCTTCTTGCTCACATTGTTTTATTAAACTCCGTTGCCCCAACCCTGACCACAATACAATAACTGATGCTGAGTGGTGGCTGGGGCTGTCAGGAACAGTGAGGTGTGGTTGGACAGGACTCGGAAAACTGTTAACTCAGCCTGAGAACATTTATTTTTACAACAAATTCAGCGTCTCAGGAGCAGTGGTGGGTCCAGGACATGGCTGGGCATGGTCAGGGGCAGAGGGGTGATTTAGTGTAGAATTTCAGGAGACGACAACACTGTCATTCCAGTATGTTATCACAGGGTGTTGAACAAGACACCACAGGAGAAATATAGACCACAGACATGGGCAGAGTAATAAAAAACAAATCATATCGTGCCAAGTATAGTGGTCATGATTACAATTTGTTTGTTGGAGTGTTGATGATTCGTTTCTAATCCTCTTTTTTTCACTACATTTTAGTTTGTATTCTCTGTCTTTCTATATTTTCTTTTTTCTTCCTTCTAATGTTGGCACATGTTACTTTTTTCCACCTCTCCTAATTCATCTATATTTTCCTCATCTGCATCCTCCTTTTTCTCCTTCTCGCAGCGGCAGTCATTACTGTTTTCGGTGCACATCTTCTTCTTCAGCTGAGATCCAAAGTCCCTGGTGTTTTTGTGCAGAAATAATAATCACTTGTTGTTTGCTGCCTCCAGTTGGTCCTCGGGAGTGCGGTGGAAACATGTGTGTGACTGCTGGGGTGGGAGGAGGAGTAAATCTACCGACCAGCCGTCTGTTTTTGTCACTGTGACATGTTTATTACAGAGCAGAAACACATGCTGCCAATGATCACCCGTTGTATGAGGATCAGTTATCTCAGCATTAGGGCCCATTAGTATTCTGTGGAGACCAATTCAATTAGTGCTCTCCAGGGGCCCAGGGGCCACAACACCACATCAGTCACACACTGTGTGTGTGTGTTGGGGGGGTGGGGGGAGGTGGGTCAGAAAGTATACTATCTATCTATCTATCTATCTATCTATCTATCTATCTATCTATCTATCTATCTATCTATCTATCTATCTATCTGTCTATCTATATACATACCCATATATATACACAGATATATGTATATATTTTATATATAAAATATATTTTTAATAATATATATACAGGTATATATTTTATTTATAAATATATATTTTTTTAATAATATATATAAAGTATGTGTACTATGGACCCGATTCTTTATGTTAACCTCTTTTTCTCACAGATTCTCCGATGCAGACTGTTTTTCTCGCTGCTACTGAGCCGGAGAAGAAAACAAACACAGTGTCTCCAAAAACTTGTCGTCTCTCCATGTTTTTACTGATTCTCTACCATCACGCTCTCCAAGCCCAGTCAGACCCCATCATTCTGAAATGATGGCTTGGCCGGTGCGTGTTTGTTTGTGGAGTTGGGGGAAAGCTGTCATGATGTCACCACCAGACGACAGACAGGCTTTTTTTATTCGAACGAAAAACAGATGAGATCAACTCAAGTTTCCTGATGCTCCTGTCTCTGTCACCAGGCAGTCTTGCGCAGCATCATTAGCATGGCACCAATATTTCCACCCTGGAGGCATCGCCATCATTATGTCACGTCAATTTCACATGCTCTTTTCAATTGTACTAAAATAAAAATCCTTGCTCGTCTTTCACAGCCAAGAAACATCTGCAGAATCGTTTCTGTACAGCGATGGTTGTGATTAGTCTCAGAAACATCAGTCTGTCTGCTCTCAATTTTTTTTTAAGTTTAATGAAAATAATGTTAATAAAAACAATAAAAACAACAGCCATGTGCTGTAAAACATAAAAAAACACAAAAATATATATACGATTTATATATACAATTATACAATTATATATATATATATCCTGAGCAGGATATATATATATATATATATATATATATATATTATGGCATGTTGCTCAGGAAATTAATCCTTGAATATATATACAGAAAGTCTGAATACATGCAGTATATAAAAAATCTAAAAATACATACAGAAAGTCTGAATATATATACAAAAAATTTAATATATATACAAAAAGTCTGAATATATACAAAAGTCTGACTATATAAAAAAATCTTAATATATATACAGAAAGTCTGAATATAGATACAAAAATCTGAATATACATAAATATAGAAAGTCTATACTGTGGTAATACTACCACCGGCCAGGCGGTATGTCATATAACATATACATCTACAGTATATATATATATATATATAAATGCTGTTGGTGGAGATACAGATATATGACACTTTGCTGACATCTATTGGTGCTCGTTGGAATTTACATACATACATACAAATATAAAAGACGTGAAAAGGGTGTGAGAGGTAGCGGTGTTGTTTACATTCGAAGTCCACTGTGTTTGTATGCGTGCGTATGTTTGTATGTGTGTATGTGTGTGCATACAAACTGTGCAAATTACAATGATAATGATGCTTCCAGCACTTTTAAAAACACTTGTAATATATATAACTGCGCATACTCCAGGCCTTTCTCTTACCAACACTCCTGCTGTTATCCATGCTCAAGTGTATTATATCCTTTGTGACTTACATAATGTTTTTGTGAATTCCACAATTGTCAGCTCTTCAAAGGTCAGCCCTGAGTTAGCTACCCTGCTTATTAGATCCGATCAGTTAACAACACCAGTCTAGTTAAACCTTCCTCACTCTATGACGATCCCTTTAAAATTGTATGTGCTCCAGCACCAGGTAAGTTGCAAGAGCAACACTCAACTTGTGGATTGATGATTGATTGGTTCTGGAGCCTAATCTGCGTCAATGTGAGCACAATTACATCTAGGCAGAACCTTTTGACCTTGCACACCAGTTCAGGCTCCTTTCCTGCCAGTGAGCTTGCATTCCAAGGCTATAGATCTGTTTCCTTGGATGAACCAACCAGGGACATGCCCAATCACTAGGACACACACTCTTCTACCACAATATGTGCTGGCAGCTCAAGGAGGGGAATATACAGTTGAGTAGTAATTCTTTCTATTCATTTTTGTGAAAAAATGGTGACCAATATATAGCACAGATTCCCTTTAGATTAACATATGGGCTACAAAGTAGCAACAAGAATAGAAAGTACGCATCATGAGGCTGATACTGTAGGTTTGTCCGTGGATTCATGGTTGCCATAGCTACAGCCCAAAGCTGTATGCAATACCAAAATCTGACCAGTAGGTGGGTGTGTTTCTCTATTTTTATTGGGTTTTTCTGTGTGGACTTGTCGCTCAGCTCTTGTAGTAAAACAAGAGCAGAACAGGGGAGCAGCCGAGCTGTGCACATCAGTTCCACGTCCCTCTTTGATTCCTGTGGATTTTTATTTTATTCTTAATTTATATCATATTATCCCGCTTCCTCTTTTCTCCTCTTCCTGTAAAACCATGGTGGCTAAAGGTAGAAAGCAGAGCTCCAAAAGTACCGCTGCGACCCAGGCTGACCGCGACAGGAGCCCGCTACTTGTTCCTCCTGCCGCCGGTAAAAGTACCTTAAGGCGGGCGGGTAGAGAGGGCAAAGCGGCCACAGGCTCCCATCCTAACGGGCTCTCCGGTATCAGACACAGGCTCGGGCTAAGTCCGTCTGTAGCGGTGAAGCTTGGATTCTCTCTGCTTCTTGGTAAGTTGGTGGAGCTGTAGCCTGTTAGCTGCTAAGAGCTGCTAACACTGCCTGTCGTTTATTTCTCTCTGTTTAAATGGATTTATCGCTGTTGTGGATCTGGGGGCTAACGTTAGCTCACCTCAGTTAGCCTATTGATATAGTCATTCACTCTTTAAAGAAAAAAAGAAAAAACGGAGTACAAGAGAGAGTGTGTCTGTGTGTTTTTACTGCAGCTGCACACGTGTGAACAGGTTTTCTGGCAAACTTTCAACAAACACGACTCCTGATTTATATTGAACCTCTTTTTAATCCGTGCTTTTAGAGCAAATTTTAAATTAGGAAAGAAAGTCAGCCTTTATTCTTTTTTTCATTGTTATTTTGACTCGCTTTATTAAGAGATGAATGGTTTCACTCTTTGGTGTTTTTGGTCACTACATCATTCATTCATTTTTAATTCGAACACTGTTGCTCGAAACTGATTTTAGGAGCATAAGGCTGCAATATATGTCGTAAATAAAGCCTTTCAATTATCAATTATTTAGAAAATAGACAATTAAAAATTCGATGTTGTATTTTGTTATTAATGCTCTATATAGTTAGAGTTATATATATACATATATATACTGTATATATTCCATTTAATTTGGTAGTAAAAATATGGAAATTTGTCATCTGGCATTAAAAATGATAACAGACTTAACAAATACACATTATATTCTTGACATGACATTGATTGATAAACTGTATTGATCTTGTAATTTCAGTGAAAGTAGCCTCTTGTTCACACATCATTTTCATTTAGATATAACCCCATAGTGTTAATTTGAAAGCTGTGGAATTTTGGGAGGACTAAGCTATACACTTCAATTTGTCTTCAAATTCTCAAATTAGTTATCGTTTTTTGATTTTATGGTTTTAAGGAAGTTATGTTTCCTGAAGTGACATGTATGGAGAGGAAAGTGTTCATGTAAGGAACTTTTATTGACATTTTTCCTGCCCTGTTGATACACAATTTTGCAAACTGCTCCAGTGTCTGGTTGACTTTCAGAGACACTGAAGATTTTATTTTGTCTGCCCACAGCTGCTGTAACAGGATATCTCCACTGGTGAGCCGAGTCAATCTTCGTTGCTGTTTTATGTCTCATTCTAACAGTAGAAACTGCTTTGTCTCACACATTATCTCTTCTTTGAGCAGGTACCATCTCTCACAGCTGTTTGAGAATGACAGACACTTTTCACACCTGTCAAACCTGGAGAAAGAGATGGCTTTTCGCACAGAGATGGTAAGACTGTTGATATTTTTGTATTGATTTAGTCCTGGTGACTACAATCCTCATGTTGTAATGCGCGTGACAATATCATCGCTTTATTTAATGCAGTTCGAAGCAACAGAAAGATCAGGATCTCTGCAGGAAGTTGAGTAACATTCATTGACACCCTGCCAAAATATCATACCCTAGCCAATCACACAAACCTTTTCTTTCTAATTAGGAAAAAAAGGCTACAAAAGAGGGAACTTAAACACATATTTAGTTGAATGTCTGAGCATGGAACTGACACAATGTCTGAACTCTGTTCAGTACATTTGCCAGAGATAAACAGTAGGTTGCGTAACGTAATGTAGATGTGTGTTTGTCAGTCCTGCTGGTCATCATTTGCACTGTGGATGTATGAACAACTTGTAGTATTTAATTGCAACAGCAGAGTTTTGTGTGAATAAGAGTTAAGTAGAGTATGTAGGTCCACAGTACTTTCCTTAAAATGTGACAGTGCATCAGTGAGAAATTTGGCATATTACATATTTGACATATTGCAACTCTTTCAATGTATTTATGTTCAACCGTTGGCTTCCACATTATCAGTTAGCCTACCCAACCTGAAACTATTAGGCTTCTGTGCAGTGCTGCACCATTAATTGGGCCCACACATAATTTCTGTTTATTCTGAACTTTCCACAGGTCACACCAAAGCTGGATTTAAGCACTTGTAATAACCATCTGACTTTGAGATAAGAATTTGGCCCAGAGGTGAAATGTTACAAGAACTTTTCTAAGACTTAGGCTGAAGTGTTGTTTGACCAACCTGTATTTTTGGCCATGTGTTGTTGCATGGCGAAAGTAAAACCATCACTTCCTCTGACAACTGCTTAAACAACCACAGAGCTGTATCTTTGGAACTTGGACATGAAAACTGTAGACTTGTGATTGACATGGTTTTTACCTACAACGCTGCTTATATACAGCTGAGTGAACACACGTGGGTTTCACCCAAGTTAAAAGATAGCATTTAAAATAATTATCATATGCAATTAAAATATCGCCCTCACTATGTTCACAGATGGGCTGTGTCGCTCATCCAGCATCTGTTGTGGAGTAACATTTAGTATTTAGCCTCTTCATAAATCTCTCCTCTTCATCTCCATCACTCTGCCTTGACAGTTTCCTTGCTAATTTTCTCCCATCATCCTTCACTTCACACAACGTTTTTATTGTTCCAGGATGCAACAGTAATCTGTCATCTGTCTTCTCCTTTCGTTGCAGGGTTTGTACTATTCCTATTACAAAACCATTATCGAGGCTCCTTCATTCCTGGATGGTCTTCACTCCATCATGAACGATCGGCTCACAGAGTATCCCCTGGTTATCAACACTCTCAAGAGATTTAACCTCTATCCAGAGGTAATGTTTTTTTCCCTCATATATATGCTGTATAATGTGGAAAGAAATATCTCTGAAAATGTTCAGGTGACTCAAAATGCTTGAACAGAAATCCCTTCATATTCGTAGCATTAAACCTGTAAATACAACATTAAAGTGAACCAGAGGCTCTGGTACCAGAGAAGATAACAGTTTTATTACAAACCAACAGCCCACTTGTTCATGGTGTGACCCCAGGTCATCCCGTATCACTAGGACAGGCTTTATGCAGCTTGAAACGTCCTTCTTACATTTTTTATTGTCCGACAGCAGCAGCTAGAAATGAGCTTTTGTTGACAGACATTTTCCACTCCACTAAAATCTTTATTTCCTCAATGGCAATGCTGGAAAATGTAATGTTTGAAACTGTGTCCGTATTGTTTTGATTGCCTGAATTATTAGATGTATTTTGTTTATGTGCTTATCATAAACTGTGGTAAGAGGAGAATGGTCTCTTTTCATTTCTAAAGCATTTAAAGCTGTGTTGCTGTGACATCACGGTCAAAGTCCTGCAAACGTGATGCAAATAATGTTCAGTAGTTGTTGTCAAGGGTATGGGTTAAAACTGATCAGGACACACTTCTCCGTCCTTTGAGATTTATTGTATCAAAGGTTTCTCACCGTGGCAGGTCCAACAACCAATCTCATCTGAACATTCACCAACAAATCCCACCTTCTAGTACATCCTTTTTTATAGACCCAGACAAACATGATGTCACACATTATTTGGTTCAGATTTGGCTAGTAACCAGATAACCATGGTCATATATCAAGGTCAGCTTGACCGGTTCTTGCCTTGGTATTTCCTGTTATTCTTGGTGTCTTCCTGTGATTCTGAAATGGCCCATGCATGATCAGTGAGATTACTGAACCAGAGGATGTTTCATCACACCCCTAAAGAAGTGCAGGACAGAAAGGTCTTTTATCAAACATGTTTAAACAGGCTTTTCACTGAATGTCCTCTGTCTCCTGCTGTGCTCTGTCCCCTGTCTGCAGGTGGTCCTGGCCAGCTGGTACCGTGTGTACACAGGTGTGATGGGCTACTTAGGTATTCCCACCAAGATGTGTTGGTCCATTAACAGAGGAGAGGGCCTGTCTCCTGTGGACAGCTGTGAAGGTACGCACTGTCACCAGGGAAACCCTGTTTTTTTTGTTTTTTTTTTCATTCCCAAAAGTGCCCTCATTTGACTCACACATAGTCACAGCCTCTCAAAGACAGCTGGTAGGAGTGGTGGGATGTATCAGAGTTACACAGGCAAATGGGGTTTGACAGTAATGGCCCGGAGGTGCTGACATTTAAAATACTCCCACTTAACTGACTGAATAACTATCTTCTTCACAGTCCTTGATGATTTCCCTCTCTTTAAGACATATGCAGCCTCAAACGCCACATGTGGCAAGATTTAGATAAATGTCTAAATTGTACAAAGGGAACTGAACAAAGAAAGCACAGTCTCTCAAATTGGTTTTTATTTTAACTCTATGATGTCACTGAAACAGAAAACTAAACGCTCTGCTGTTTGAATTCCCTGATTGTTAAATGAATCTCCTATGCAAGAGAATATCAATAAATATTAAATAAAATATCAAATGGAATATTGTTAAACAGACCAGTTGAAATCGGACCATTTCAAATGGATATAACAGATTTCTCATATGTTTAGTTTTTACATCAAATAAAACAGGCTGAATCTGATCCAAGCCCTTGACATATTTCAGTTCTGTTGCTTGTTACAACACCACATCTGCCACTGAGTGAAGCTGACTTACAGTTCTGTCTACATCTCTTTGTTGTGATATATTTACAAAATCACACATTCAACCCACACTCTGCTGTCGTAGTTGACAGCAACAATTCAACAGAAAAGATCGCCCAAGCTTAAATAATGTCTCAACTGCCAATTAAATTGTGCTGTTGTTACCTTTTAATATGGAATTTTCCTCAAATATAAACATTGTCTCTAAGGAGTATTTTTTAGATTTTCTTTGTTTCCTTTTCTTCCTGTGTTCACACAAACAAACGTTCATCTCACAGTCGAATCGCAAACAAATGATAAACAGTGTTGGGTTTTTTACAACTAGAGAAATTGGCAGTCTTTCAGATCAGCTCCTGTGGCCACAGCCAGAAGTGCAGTAAATGGTGGCAAACAGTGATGTCTTACTCGTAACTCGGAAAACTTGTATTCCGGGGCCCCACTGTATCTATGTCGCATTGCATCTGAAAGGTTTTTACATCTGACATTTATACTGGTAAATATAAGGCTACATTTACAAACAGGGGGACATCCCAGTGTACCTTCAACCAACAAAACATCTGTAGGCAAAAAGCAACCCAACGTGTTGAAAATATTTATGGTGAATCCTAAAACCATTGATCCAATACTCACTTTCTGTGACGACCAGCATCAGGGTCTGCAGGAGACATTTTAGCCCTATAAGAAAGACTCATGAGATCTATGCCAATAGAAGTGTATGCTGTTTAAACATGTAATGTAGCTTTATCTCACCATCGGGTGAGACAATAGCCTGCTACTGTTTTTTACTGTTTCTGTCTCATTAGCGAAGAAGTTCGGGCAGAAAAAAAGTGTTGAGAGATTTCTGTGGATTTGCAAACTGTGAGTTGTCCAATGTTCAAAATTCACGCAAAAAGATCTGCTGTCTCCTTAGGTAAAATGTTGCTTACGTGGATTATAAACAAGGATTTGAACTCATAACTGATCATGGTAAAACCTCACCAAAGAAGTTTAAATTCTTGTGTTGTTTGCCACTCGGAATCTAAATGGAAGCCAGTTAAACAGTAAAACCAACAGGCCTAGCGAAAAACATTATTATTTCAGCTCTTAGGAAATGAAATGTGAATTTTTTTATGTATTATGTAGATGTGGCCTGTTTTTATTGGCACAATTATTTCCCCATAATAGTAAACATGCTGACAGTAAACAAATAAAAACTGCTGTTAGCCTGCTACTGTTTTGTACTGTTTCTGTCTCATTAGCGAAGAAGGGGCCGAGCAGGGTCAGTGCTCTCGGGCTATTTTCATAGTGCAAACACAAACATGACAGAATCCGACTTGAAAACGGCCCGCGGCCATTTTCTATAAGGGCGTATGATTTTAGGTGAGATTGAACACATCAGTTTTAAGTGTTGACTGTAATATCACTCTGAGATGCTGCAAGATTTTTTAATTTTTTTTATTTTATGAAAAAGCTTTGAATAATAAAACACGTTTTTTTTTTAGTCACGACGGCCCTTTCAATCTCTCCTCTAGTTATATTAATAACTTAACATAATAACAACATCAGATGGAAATAAAAGTTTAACTCAGGGTGTGAAGTTTGTCACCACAAACCGACTTTTTCTCCACAGTGAGAAAGAGAGGAACTGGTGTTTCTGCTCCCCCACCCAGCTCATTATTCACGATGATTGTTTTCATAACTTCTAATAAACAATTAATAGATGTATAATTCTGTATAATCCACCCGGAAGCGTAGTTAAAATCCAGCTCTTTTATATTGTCCTGCGCTTTTCCCCCCCTCACCAGGAAATATTGTTGCTCGTTTAAACCGTATTAGTAGTTTTATGGTGACTCTAAAATTTTAATGACTCAGGTGCCGGGAGTCTTTGCACTGCAGGTCGTGCAAAGGATTTGTGTTGTTGTAAGGCTTTTGTGAGTAATTTATATACATTTTAATAGACTGATATGGGTATATATATGCATATATATATACACACATATATGTATGTCTGTGTGTGTGTGTGTGTGTAAACTGTTTTACTAAGCTACATTACTAAAGTAAAGAGGGAGCTCTGTTAAAATGACTTGGAAGAAATAGTAGATAAAAACACCAGCGATGGGGGAATCGGGATCTGGGCTTGTTCTCCTCTCTACTATATCTCCTCTGCTGTAAATAGAGCACTTCCAGTGGACTCACCACCCGCAGGAAGGTTCAGGGGGGTTGGTACGGTGCAATGTGATTTGGGTGGAGACTGCTGCCCCCGCGACTCGGTAACGGATAAGCGGATGAAAATGTATCTCCTCTGCTGTAAATAGAGCACTGCATGTTGACTTAATCATCCTGGATAGTAGGTTTCTCCTAGGCTATTTCGGCATTTAGTGACCTTACCTTGTCAAATCCAAGTGTTCCAAATTCTCTTGGACCAGAAACATGAGCGGTGTTCATAGACAGGGGAGATGTGTTCAGGAAACCCAGGTATTTTTGAAGAGTGCAGCAGATTTCATAAAGAATAAATGTGTTACCTTCTATCTGTACTGATTAACAACGTAATCAACATTAATCAGACTCTTTAACTAGACAAATTTGATAACTAATTTTGTCTTGTACAAACTGGGTATAAAATACTAAAATCTTTCAGGACAGACATGCTGACTGGTCTGGTAAAACATTATTCTGGTCGTGGTGATAGCTAGCTAGCTAAAAAAAAAACAATATTTTCAGTTCCTTTGTAAGGCAATGCTATTTGTTAGAAGACTTGTCCCAGCAGCCATTGCTCCCCTGAATAGTATGAAACACTGTCTATTTCGGCTGTCATTTCTGCAGCTTTTGTGCTGCTTGTGTTTCATTTCTCCGCCAGAACCTGCTGTGGGAATGACTTTCCTCTCGGGCACAATAGAGTCTCAGTCTGAGATTCACTGACTTATCTAATTGTCAGTCCTGTCAGGGAGGGGCCACACAAATGAGGGGTTCAAATAAAGTCCAGCTGAAAAATAGACTATTTCAGAATGTCTATAACAGAGTCTTTTCTGCCTCCAACCTCCTTTGGAGGTTAAATACAGTTCTTGTGTTTCTAGTCGTATTCTCTTGGCAGAAACAACACAATCTTTCAACTGTGTCATTAAATTAATATGATTGGACATGAAGGCTTTCCTGGCTTTAATCTGCCGTAAGTTTTGTTTATCAAATCCAAATAATATTTGAGGAAAAGGAGAAAAACTAAGGCTCATTTTAACTGCAGTTTTCTGGTCACCTAAAGTTGTCCTGTGAATGAAACATACATTTGGTCTAGAGTGCCTATTGCATGTATTAAACTCGAGGCCCGTGGGCCGGATGCAGCCCTCCAAATCATGTTGTGTGGCCCGGTAGAGCTTAAAAAGTGTTTGATTGTTTGTATGCTACAGATCATACAGCAATCTTGAATTAAAATTACAACAATGCATTTCATTGCTACTCGGTGTGTTCAAGGACAAGCAGCATCACTTTATCAACGTCGCCCAAAACCTGACTCACGGTTTTGTAATTCACTTGGAAAGTTGGATTTGAATGTGAGTTTCATAACCTGATAAATTAAAAGTTGTTTTTTTTAATTACACAGCAATGTAAAATATTTGTTAGTTGAATGAATAATAATCAGTTGCAGAAACATTGCAGTGAGAAGTGAGTTTTGACACCCGTGGTGCATGAATTATCAGCTGGAGTAAAATTCTTATGTCTATATATGCCCAGAGCATCAATTTACTTTTCCAGTTTTCACCCTCTGCTCTTCTCCCTGTGTGCTTCAGGAATGGGCGATCCAGCGTATTTCTACGTGGCCTGTGTGTTTTTCCTTAATGGCCTGATGATGAGCCTGTTCTTCATCTACAGCGTCTACCTCAGGTAACGCCTGTCCGTCTCTCAGTGATTTGATGGGAGAAGAGAAAATTGATTTTTTTATTTTTTTTTTAATAACCTGTCAGAAAGACCGTTCTTGTGGATTTGAAGAATCAAATGTCCAATAACCTTCTAGAACCCCGTCTGCTTCCTCACTCTATTTCACTCTTTCTTTCCAGTGGCAGTCGTATGGGCGGCATTGTAACAACAATGTGTTTCTTCTTCAATCATGGCGAGGTGAGTTTAATCCTATCCTCTCAGATATCAGTTCAATGGTGAGGCCTCGTAGCCTCACTGAGTGACAGCACAAATGTGTGAAAGGCTCTCAGAAGCAGAGGGTGGTTAATGGGAACTCATTTCTGCTCTCACAGGAGATCAGGCTGACACTCGACAAGCTGACTCCCACCCACCCCCACTCTTTTCGCTGCATTTAGCACCAGAACAAATATTGAGTGTATTTTTCCAGTTCAATACCCTATAACATTTCGAGACACACACGGTACTTTCAAAAGCTGTGTTCACTGTCTTTCACTGTAGGTGCATGGCTCAGTTAATTTGAAATTATGTTAGTTTTTTAATATACTGTTGTATTGACTATTGATTTCCTAAGCTCATCTTCATCTCCTGTGATGCATTAACGTATCTTTGAATTGTCCTGTTTGTTTTTTCAATTCAACAGAGCACCAGAGTGATGTGGACTCCACCGCTGAGGGAGAGCTTTGCGTATCCCTTCTTAGTCCTGCAGATGCTTCTTCTCACCTACATCCTGAGGTACAGACATCCCTCCGATCTTGCTACGCTTTTAATAAAAATAGTTATTTTGCACAATTGTAAACTCAGGCTAATTTCAGTGATCTTCACTTCACTGGTACAGCTGAACTTTAGAAACTGACATTTCATACCTGCCTGTATGTGTAGTTTTTTCTTCTACAGGACATTTGAACAGTTCTTTTAAGCTTTTTTTAATAGTCTCCTCTGGGAGAAATTTACCATGGACCACAGGGACACACAAAACACACCAGGAGACAATAAATAAAATGGTATATATACAATAAAAATAACTAAATATCAAATATTAATTTTCAAATAAATGTTATTATTTACTTTATTTTTTTACAAATAATAAATCTATAAATGTAATGAATCATTAAATAATAAATGAAGTTTAATAAAATAATTTTTAATATTTAAATGAATACATTTTTAGGTAATTTTAAAACTGCCCACTCATAATAAATATATTCCTTTCATCACAAAAATGTACTTTGAGAATATAGGAACTGTTTTTTTTTTTTGTTTGTTTGTTTTTCGTTGTACAATAATATTCTCTGCTTAAAACTGCACACTGAAGGATAGTTGGCCAGCAAAGGTGCCAGAACAACACATCTTACACATTAGCAGAACAACCATTCACACACTTGGATTCATTTTTTTTTTTGCAACTTTTTGTGTCTCTATTCTCCCCAGGACACGGAACCTGAGCAGGACAGCTCTGATCGCCCTTGGCGTGTCCAATTTGTGCTTCATGTTGCCTTGGCAGTTCGCCCAGTTCGTGCTGCTCACTCAGGTAGGAGAGAAGGTGGTGAAAATGGGGATTAAGGAATGTTGAGTGGAGAATTTTGCAGATAAAGCTTTACATTTGTACAGAATGTGAAGGCTCGGAAAGCATGCAAAGAAAGGAAAAAGGAGGGTGAATGTGAGAAAACGGGGCTTACAGCTTGCTGTTAATTAAGCTCTGAAAATGTTTGATATTTCTTGGAAAAAAACTGGTGTAAATATGAGGTCCACATAATTTGTCAGTCTTTATATAGGTTTTATTGATCTAAACTTCTTATAGTTTAAATCAAACAACACATCAACACATTTTAGAAAACCATCCTCTTAAGTTGTTAAAAGTGTGAATTTTGTGGTTTTTCTTTTTTCCTTCAGGTGGCTTCTCTGTTTGCGTCCTACATCCTGGGTTACCTCGGTCCCAGCAAGATGCAGTCCATCCTGGTCACACATATGGTACAACAGATACCTTCTTCATTATTCCACAGGCATCAGTCAGCTCATCACACTTTTACTTCACGTTTTATGACTGTACAGAGACCAAGTAATTAAAGCTGCTGCCATTAAAATATCATAGGTTAAACAAAAGTAGTTAAATAGCTGTATATCCTGATGTCTGTGATTAATCGTAAGTGTTCAAGTCGGTGGCACGAATCCCTGGACTCTGACAGTAAATCCACTTTAGAAACCCCTTCAGGAATTTCAACAATCAGGAGCGACAGCTCGGCAGGGAGAAATGCCTTACTGCTGAAGAATAAATGTGAAAAACCATCACCTAAAAGTGGATGATACATAAGAAAAAAACCGAAAATAATGGCCCCCAAAACAAGTAAAAAGAAAATCAACAGTGCTGCTGTGTCTTTACGGTGAGTTCTGCTCTGTGTAACCCCTCTCTGTCCCACTCACTCCCAGAGCTGGAAGGAATTTTACACAAGCCAGGTGGAGACATCACCATCAGAATAACTTAGTTATCAGTTTCACACAATCGTGCTTTTTACTGTTAGAAAAAAAACACAGTGTGGACATTTGGAACAGGAATAAGTGTATTATATATGTGTGTGTGTGTGCAGTGTTTTGTCCGTCCATTGTCCTTCTCCGTCACATCTGTTCTGCCCTAATCCTCTCAGTGTGCCAGGCTGTTTGCCAGAGTCTGTGTTTCCAACTGATAAGAAGAATATCCTTGGTGGTAAAATAGTGGATATTTCAGTCAAAAGAAGCCATGTGAGTTCTACTGATTTAGCGAGTAAGCTATCAGGGAAGAAGCACCAACAACCAGACGTGTGTCCTGCACGACCTACAGCAGCCTGAGGCTGAAATTGTAAAGCTAAATAAATGCGGTCTATTGGTTGATCTATGTGTGCTTTCAGGACTGTCAGTCTTTAATCTGATTAATCACAGAGTGGCTGTGGATGAAAAACACAATTACGCTTGATTATTTGTGATAAATTAACATTCTTAATTTTGACAATTAACAGCAGGAAGATACACGTGTTTCACACCTCATTTAATTTGTGATTAATCCAAACGGTGGAGTAGTAAGTATGGGAAGATATCAATATAAAGCTTCCAAAAACATATGCTCAACATTGATATTACGGTATATTTTGAGCTGGAGGTGTTTTGGTGAAAAGACAAATCCGCACTGTGTGCAAATAATACATGCATCGTTTTGTACTCATGCCAATGTATTCATGCAAAAATAAGTGGATGGACACTGGAGTTATCTGAAAGCATGTGTCAAAATACGTCAGTCATTATTTTTAGATGAACCGATGATATGAGATTCATTGTTATAATCAGTGCTGCAATCGGCATTAATACAGAGGCTTCCTGTAACTCTGATCTAATTTCTCCAAAGTCAGAGACATGTCCTAACATTAACACCTGCTTTCCTCTCCAACTCTTCTCAGATAACACTTGGAGTCTGTTTCATCCTGATGTTTGGAAACGCCATGCTCCTCACGTCTTTCTACGCCTCCTCACTCATCTCCATCTGGGTGAGTGTGGTTTCTAAGAATATAATGAGCTGAATTGTATGATATGCTGTGAAAGGGATAGCCAAAGTTTAAATTTTATTTAATGTTTTCTTATCCTCAGGCCATCGTTGCACTGAGGGATCAATTTGCACGTCTTTTCAAACCAGGCATTGTCATGTGGGTAAGAAGGTTTGACCTCTGTGTCTTTTTGATTGAATGCAGTTAAAGTTAAGATGATGAACTTTATGTTCTCAGAGGCCAAGAGAGGAATAAATTAGTTTTTTTCGGCTAGGGGCGGGGAGTTACAGTTTAATCCCTTTAGATAAAGAGAGAGACTCCACTACAATTCAATGGCCATGACTCCAGTATTCTGACATGAGATAATACATTTGACATTTGAGTTTGGATTGGATTGGATTAGGTTGGGTTGGGTTGAGGTTAAAGACAAAGCACAGATCAAAGTTGGACATTAAACATGAACTGAGTTTGTTTTCCGTCAGGGATCTTTTTACTCCTTTCCAGTCAAAGCACAAACACCGAGTCGTTTACTGGCTCGTTATAATAACTGCACTTGTCATTACTCATTTTTATTGCTGTAAGAACTAAATGAAAGTTTGGAGGAAAAGAACAGAAAAATGTCATGTGAGAGCTGCAGCAGTCTTAGCCTCCCTCCCCAAACACCCTTCATTGATTTAGGCACATGATGATGTCACTCCCAAGTCAGTGTTGATCAACATTTCAGGGAGCACATACTCTTTATAGAATAATTGATCTGAATCCCTCAGTCTTATTCACCTCGTCCGTTATTGCTAGCTAGTTTCAATGACGTAAATTGAGCTTCAAATGGTGACAAAGCTGTGTTTCCTGTGAGAGATTAATGTGCTCCTGTCTGTGCTGACGTGATATTCAATATTCTGTAACAGCTTTTCACCACAACCAGCTGTGCACTGTTCAGACAGTGTTAGTGTTTTCCTACTGGAGTCCAGCATCTTGTTGCCTTCGTGGGTAATTTATTATTGTAGGTCAACAATGTCAGCAGTTTGTAGGTATTTGGAAATCAGGGACAAAGACAGGCACAAGACACTGTAAGATTTGTTCTGTTTAAAGTACTGACAAATGACACTGTTATGTAAACACAGGAAAGTGTATTAAATTGAAATGCATTGTTGCTGCAAAAGCTCCAGTAATTTCTGTTCACTTGGCTGTGTAGATATTTGAAACTAATTTATCTTTATTTTTAATATTTGTATTTCTTCTGTCCTTAGTTTTATTGATATTTTCTAATGTGACAACAATGTCAGTTTGAAGATCTTTTGTTTGATACAAAAACAGTTGTTTCCTGGAATTAAGTATCTGACTCTTACTGAGAACAAACTGAACACACTGTGGTTTACCCACACTGCAAATCACCATTTCTTGCACAGAACTGTGGCAACTATAAGACACTGCATTCCAGTCCTTGGTATCAACAAGTACCCAAATTTAAAAACTTCATCATCATATTTACTGTACTGTACATTTAAGACAACCCTGTTTTTTATGAAGCCTTCAGCGTGTGTCAACTTCTTTCTCAGGTGATGCAGGTTGTGGCTTGGGTCGGCTCCACAGTTTTGCTCAAGATCATGTTGTCCAACGTCCTTGGTGCCTCAGATGATGTAAGTGTTATGATTGGTCATGATAAAAAAAATAAAATACCACTATAGAGTCAAGACCAGCAGATAAATATTTCTTTTTCCGTCCAGGCTCACATCAGTGCTCTGATCAAGTCTAAGTTCACCAGCTACAAAGACTTCCACACTATGATGTACACCTGTGCTGCAGAGTTTGACTTCATGGAGTGGGAGGTAGGATGGAGTTTAAAATGTGATCTCCCTAACGTCATAACTGGCACAAAATATTGATGGGTAAAACGCTCTGTGCTGCCGCAGTCTTGTTCTGTAGTAACACTGCAGTCTCTGGTGGGCTGCTGTGAGAACTTGCCAAGTTTGAGCTTTCCAAATGTCAACGTCTCCTGTGAAGTGTCCAGACATAAAAGATTCTACCTACTGTTTGAATAAAACCCAAAGGAGAGAGGGAGAGAGAAGCAGATCTGTTCTCTGAATTTTAACACTTTAGGAAAAGTGATGTTTCTTTTGACTGTCCTCATTTTGACCTCTCTGCTTCACAGACTCCTCTGCGTTACCTCAAAACACTGTTGCTGCCCATTAACATGCTGGTGGTCGCTCTCGTTGTTGGAAGGGTACGTTATGGTTTTTGTGTTTTTATGTTTAAACACATTTTGTCTTGAACAACCAAACAAAGGTACGGTGATTAAAAAAGCAGAAAGATGATGAACAGATGCCTGAAAATTCCAAGCCCATTATGTTTTTACCCAGGAGATGCAGAATAATTAGATGTGCTTGTACAACCAAAAGGCATGTCTGCACACTGTTAAGTTTTATTTCATAATTTTAGAATCCGTAAAAAAACCTATTTATGGGATTGTCTCTTATTGGATCTATAATCTGCAGCCTTTAAGCTTCCTGATTTTCTGACTTTTGATTTCAAAAAAGCGGTGTGAGGGCAATGAGGTGGTTGGAGATTTGGATGCATAAACAGAACCTAGAATTATGTTGCGGGCGTGAGGCTAATCCTGCAGATCACTGAATTACCTCCTTGCAAAGAAAGGGAACAGATTCCTCCGTATTCTCTGTGGTTGTTCAGTCGTGACTATCAGTGCAGAGTCGAGAAGAGTCTCCAGAGCTGACTGTCAGAACAGTAGCCCAGGCAGTGAGACGAGAAATGGAAATCACAGCCAAGCCTTAAGACTGTGTTTTACTGCCGCAGAAGGACGGCAAGTTACCATCCAAATATTTCTGCCTCCGACCGAGGGCTGTAGAATATTATTCTGATTACATATTGCCACAAAACTCTAGTTCTCAAGTGTTTCAAAACTGGCTATAAGACCCTACTGTGATAAAAGGAAAATGGACATAATCGTTGAAATAGAATGTAGCAATAGACAGGATAGATGTGCATTTATAGTGAAAGTGAATAACGTGTCATTGTGACACATCACCCATCACCAAAGAGAGCAGGGGGCAGATCGTATCTTATGTGAGCTCTTTGTGGTCACTTCTTACTGTTCAGTCAGGAAATGACTTTTTGCTGAGTTTGGCTGCATTAACAACCTGCTATCACAGTAACAGTTTACAATATTTAATATTGAAAAAAGTCTTTAAAATGTCCCTTTAAATAATTCTCATCACAAAGTCTCCTAACGTAATGTGTTATTTGACCATGTCTTTTTTAGACACTGCAGGATATAATTTGCTTCCTAAGGGACGGAGGGAAGTCATCTGGCAAAAATGATGGCGATGATGAAGCTGCAGGGTAAACATTTTTTTTTCTTTTTACCATCAATAAATGGAACGATGAACATAATTGTAAATAGAATTGAGCAGCACTGACTAACATTGACATCTGCTGTGTTGCAGGTCAGAAATGTCTGCAAAAGGAGAGGTAAGAAGCAAAGAAAACAGTTTTTACATCCTCTGCTATTGTAATGTTACACAATATAATCTCAAAGTGCACTCTGAGGCATTTGTTCAATGCTGTTCCACTTTTGTTTGAACCTATTTTTTGTTCTATCCAATTCCTTCAGTGCCTCAGCATCCGCTTCTTTACCGTGTCCCTAAGTGGTTTTCATCTCTTTTCTTATAACTGAGAAATGAAAGGCAGGCCTTTCCTACTGCTGGGAAATCACACTGCGGCACCTTTTGTTCGACTGCCTCGTGTCGTTTTCTTTAATATCCCTCCCAGGGAAGGGAAGACCTTGTGATGTTCATCCACCGGCTTCTTCAGTTTCCTGGATAATTGCTCCGGTGTCTCAGAGTATCCGTACAGGATTGAAGGCTGAAATAAAAGTAGCTTCACACCCTGTACTATTATACACTGCATTATACACGTACATATAGGAAAAGCCATTAGAATGACTCCAACTTACAATTTCTTTATTTTATACTTAGTGACATCTGGTGGTAGAAACCTTAACATTGCTGTTTTTTGGTTACTTCAAAATGTCATGTTTAAAGTCGGGTCTAAGGTTCAATGGCACATGAACAAACTGTGTGTGGCCCATAACATTGATTCAGGCTCATGGAATATGTTTTCTTAACCAGAGAATTTTCTGTTATTTTGGCTTGTTATGTTATTGCTAATATTTGGGGTTGTGTTGGCTGATATTCGCAGCATTTTTAGCTGGTATTGTTTCTTATTACTTTCCAACCTTAATGGTGGCTAAACTGGAGCTTTTGTTTTACAAAATAGTTTGGCTATTTTTACTAAACAAATTTTAGATGCATTTCAATTTTGGCATTTCATCAAAATACGTTATTTTTAAATGTATTTTATTGTATTGAAAAATACTTTATGTAAAAATGTAGTGTACTATACTGTACATCACTTAGATAACAGGGTGTCCATACATCCTGGAAAACCTGGAAAATGAATGACCAATTCTTGTGTCATGGAAAATGACGTTTCCTGGAACATTATTTCTCCTTCCTTTTCAGATTGAGGCACATTATCCACTGTGGCTGCATCTTAAACTAGAATTAAAATATTTAACTCTACATGAAGACATACTGCTCTAATGTCATTATTCAGTTGTGCTAACTAGGTGTGAATATGTCATCTTTCAGCTAGTCTACCACAGTCTACAGCTGGTGGCATTTGCTGTTCTCGCTATCCTCATCATGAGACTGAAGCTGTTCCTGACACCGCACATGTGCATCATGGCCTCACTCATCTGCTCCAAACAGGTCCGTCTGTGCTCTATGAACAGCCATCCAAACATGGTTTAGACAAATGCAGTTAGATCCTGTGTGAGCTCTCTGTCTCCTTTCCCTGTCTCTCTCTCACCCACCTGCTCATCACACCAGTTGTTTAGTTGGATTGGGGAGAAGTCTAAGCACCGAGCTCTGGTGTTTGCGTTAATGGCCGGCATGGCTGTGCAGGGAGTGGTCAACCTTCAGGCCCAATGGGCTATCATTGGTGAGTTCAGCAACGTGCCACAGGAGGAGCTGCTGGACTGGATCCAGGAAAACGCTCAACCTGGTGAGTAGAAAGAAGTAGAAGTCCTTGTGTTCTTTTTACCACTATAAACAGCAGATGTTTATAACCCTGAATGAGTCCTTCTATGTTAACCACGTCTTTAGTTCTGTTATATCATGTCCACAGTTGACAAGAAATTATTTTGACTTTATATCTGCGGTACAGGTTCTGTTTTTGCGGGGGCCATGCCCACCATGGCCAGTGTGAAGCTGTCCACGGGTCGTCCCATCGTCAACCATCCACATTATGAAGATGCTGGTCTGAGGTCAGAGACAACAGAATATAGACTGATGATAAATACTAAATAGTAACATCTAGGAGAAAATATCACTAATACATTTTTGATGTCCAAAGTATTTCTTTCTCCCTCCTTGTGGATTATGGATTGTTGTTTGGATTGTTCCTGACAGGGAAAGAACCAAACTGGTTTACTCTATGTATAGTCGCATGTCTGGAGAGACAGTGAAGAGGAACCTGATGAAGCTGGGAGTGGATTATTTCATCCTGGAGGATTCTTGGTGCACAAGGAGAACCAGGTACCACAACACCAGCTGTGGCTCCTTGCATTTTAATTCAGTGTAATGGGTGGATGAAATTTTGAACTTTTTTAATCTAGGCCTGGATGCAGCATGCCAGAGATCTGGGACCTAGAAGATCACCAAAACATTGGTAAAATCCCCCTGTGTACCCACATGTCCAGGAACTCACGACCACACTTCACCACAGTCTTTTCCAATGAGATTTACAAAGTTCTTAAAGTTCCAAAAGTGACCAATGAGCAAAGATAACACAGCTCTGATTAGAACCAGTTTGGTTTTTCCTTTCCGAACTTCTACTTTTTTAAGTCACTGTTGGTAAAACAGCTTTCTACTTCCCAGAGGTCAGACCCCTGTCTGCCTTTCCCCTTACTCTATAACGTGACCTGAGGACAGAGAAAATGTTGGACCTGCCAAAACAGTCTACAGTGTCTGTTTGCTCTTGGTGGTCACACAGATCTCAGTATTAATTATTAACGTCCTTAAAGCTGCTTTTTGACATCGAGCAATGTCCTGTCAAGTGCAAGACAGAGGTTTCTGCTGCTCTTCAGTTACATTTCCTTTGATACATGCAGCTAGTTTTAAAAGGTTAAAAAGTCAAATACAGTTCATCTTAAAGGTGTGGTATTTCAGCGAGGGCTGTACATCTAAATTCCAACAATTTTGAGTTAATTCATTTGTCATCAACTAATGTTTTTTATGCATTGGAACTAAAACCATATCACAAGGTTCAAATTGAAAACATTTTAAAAGATGTACAGCAGTGATGTATTAAGAAAGTCAGTGAAAGGCAGAGTACACAGTACAGTACTTTGTCTCAGGCCACCAACTGAGCCAGTGGGGTCAAAACTTCTATTATATTTTAGTTGATACATAACCCGAACAACTGTCTTGGGGATATGTTCTATGACATATGAGTTTTGAGGTTTCAGGTTGTGAGCTGATTTACCGTGCAGCAAACCTTTGCAAAATGTCAGACAGTTACTCACACTGTTTTTTAATCATGGTTTCTGCACATTTTAGAAGATATTTGATTCAAAAGTAAATCATTATATGGGGCAACGGGGCAAATATTTTCATGTGCATAGAAGCTTTCTTCTCATTTGATTTAACTACAATATTTTTTTCATCCCTGTACTGAGAGCGGTAGTAGTATTAACTTTACTTCACCCACAGTTTGTAAATACCCACAGTTTCTTTTTTTAAAAGGATCATTGTCTTTTTGTGTAATTCCTTTTTTGCCAAAGGGAGAAATGTGTTTCAATGCCCGGTGTTGTATTGGAGGAACTGTAGCTAATTTAAAATGTGCTCATTAGCAGCTTTATAACAGCCAATCAGATCACATTTGTAGCAGCAACTTAATGGTAGCCAAAGCCAGTTTGTTGACATGATAATGATCCAAAAGTATTATGTTTTTTTCAAATTTTTCTTACTGCAAAAGCTTGTTCTCCTCTTGCCGTCAGCTTTTTTTTTTTGTTGTTGTTTAAAATGATGCTGCTTGATTCAGGAAAAAAAGAACAGTTCATAATTAGACCGAATGTTTTATCGCTGCGTTGTAAATGAGCATAAACAGTAAGTGTTCCACAGGGCTCTGTGTTCTTGGAAAGAAATGATGTTCATTCTCAAGTTGAAGAGAGGTTTTTATTGAGGTCCAATGTGGTACAAAACACTGTGTCTGGCCAAGTTAGTTTTGCTCAATATTACAGCCATCTATCTGAGAAAGAACACAAACTAGTGAGCTGTGCAATACTTTTCCATTTTGTTTCCCAAGTGAGTCAATTTTTGCTTTAGCAGGGATGTTAACATCTAAACAACAAGCAGAAAATGAAGTAGAAACATACATTTACATATTCCAAATTTCGCTGCATTCTTATACGTTTGATTTCTAAGCTGTTTACCTTTATACTGTTCATATGAGGATAATAAGTGATGGAATCAGTCAAGTGCCCATTTTCAACAAGTATTGCACTGTTTTCCTGTCACAGTTGTACATGTTTTAAATGTCTTTTATAATATTTGTCTATTTTGTCTGTAATTAAGAAAAATAAAATATTTGCATCAATACTGTGAATATTCTACATGTAGTACCGTTTGTCTGTGTTCCCATTTTCCTTAGAATATTTTTTTTTGCCAGTGGGGGGTTTCTCTGGCTATGCTAAACTGACTTTAGAATATAATTTAAATGCAAAATGATAATAATTTGTATTTTTAGTAGTTTAGTAGTTTGTATACATTTATATGGAAAATGGGGAAAATTACAAAAAAACTTTGTTTTAGTCGTTGCATAAAAAGCATATAAAATAATTATGTGTCTAAATACATTTCAGTTTTGTGGTTTTTGGTACATTGTCCTACGTGGCCTTTTGTATTTTTACATCAGGTTGTGGCGATAGGAAAGTAGTGGGGCTTATGACATCGTCCAGCAGATGGCACCAAATTTGGCCCAATGTTCTCATGCAATTGGAAAAAACAAACAAAAACAACAAAAATATTTGGTTGTGAAAATGAAGTTTTGTTGTTGCAAAATTACCACACCAATTTCGTTGTATCCCTGCTGTACAATGACAAAGACTATTCTATTCTATTCTATTCTATTCTATTCTATTCTATTCACTACATTTCCCATAATGCCTATATAGCACTAAATCTCGCGAGACACCAAAGTACCATCCCATCTGCGGCTGCGCAATATCGTTCGAAAAAAGTTGCACAGTGAGCGGAGGAGAAAGAAATTGCTGTGAACAAAAACACACAATGGCGACGTCCGCAACAACGGCTGGCGGGAACGGGCCCCGCGGTCGCACCGCCGGGCCTCTCGGTGGCGGAACTTCCATGGGACGCAAGAAGGACGGTGGTCCGTCCACGAAATTCTGGGAAAGTTCAGAGACGATATCCCAACTAGAGACCGTGCGGCTGTGGATCGGAAAGCACTACAAGAAGGTAGTTAGCATGGTAGCAGCTAGGTTCTCCATTGATTCCTATGAAGGCCGGAGTCTTCTGGTACAATGGAGCGCTATCCATGTTAGCAGTAGTCATTCTAGATTTATGAAATCAGGCACTTAAAAGCAATTTGTTGATGAGTATAAAACTGTGCTGGTCGTTTTAAACGCACTATGGGACGGCTTCCATTAGATTTTAAATGAAACCCATGCTGTTTACCAGTTAGCTTAATGCTAATAGTGCTCCCTCCACCGAGTAACGACGCCAATAACAAATGCACAGGATGGACGAGCTTTTCGTTTTTATTTCATTGTAATCACATATACGTTATGCTCATACAATGTAAATATGCTCTAACATTTAATCTCAAACAAAAATAAAACGGTCTAATAGGCCCCGGTAGCTCAGCAAATGTTGGTCACGGGACATCATTCACTGGCTTTACACGTAGCATGATAAGATCGGGAACCTCTACTAATTCCCGCTTAAAATAGGTCTGTGGTTACAAAATAACACCAGAAATTGTCCGTTTAACCACTCTCACTGGTGCATCTTGCTGAAAAACAACATCAGTGAGTTTTGTCAACACAGCAGCTCTACGGGGTGAAGGCTGCACTCATTGAAAATCAGCCAAACAAAGAGTTGCTCCTCCTGTGACCCTCATGCTTCATTTAAACTCTTGTTTCGTTAACTTGATGGTTTAATCCCGAACGCCGAATGGTTCCGTATGACTTTTATAAGCACACTAGATACAGATGCCTCGCCTGAGTTTTTTGTGCTTTCTCCAAGGTCAACAATATTGAAACGTATGAGATGCACGAAAAAACTGCTGTGACATGTGAGACGTTTTGATAGAGTAGCAGAGCATGTCCTGAATTTTACATGGGCATACGAGTGTTTTTGGTTTTTATATATTGGATACATTTTTACCTTAACTGTGAATCCAATAGGTGCCTCTCCCACTGCATCATAACAGGTTTGACTTCTGCTAGGCACAAAGTTAGCTCAGTAAATACTGAAATGTAGAAATTTACAATCCCAGGGCACTTGCTTAGGTGCAAATGATGCAAATAATGGTTAATCCATTTCAAAAATGTTTTTTATAATTTATTAAATATTGTTAGGTGTTGTTGTGTTTGAAAAAATTGAAAGCACCCTTAAATATATATTTAGACTAATCACATTGACAAATTGAATGAATTTGACAAATACACCTGTGACAACATAGGGCAAAGTAAATATGATTTGCATTGAAGAATGAATGGCAAATAATTTTAGTGTAGTGTTTGTAGTTTTTTTTTACTCCTAAGATGTGAATAGTCAAAGCTAATGATTATTTAATGCGTGTACGAATAACCTAATAGTCAGCAATATTTTGTAGCTTTTTGCATTAAGGCTTGCCAATGCAGTGTGTGGACTTAAGAAACCATGACACTTTAATAAAATCTATTTTATTGGAGATTAGTCAAAACTGGTATCACATTGATAAGCAGTTGCCACTGATTGGTCCACTTTACATGAATCATCAAGCTGCACCACTTCCTAACTGTTTGTGATCTTTAGTTGGCGAACACAGCCTGCATACAGTGAAGTCAAGGTCAAAATACTGGTTCAGGTTTATTTGAATTTGACAAATACACCTGTGACAACACCTGTTTGAAAGAAATATCAGAAGAGTTGTGTAGGTGCATTGCACTTCAAAGTAAAGTCATTCATGTAACTTCGTTCAAAATAAAAAGTTGCTGAGATCATATAGAGAAGAAGAGGTTTGTTTCTGGAGTTTGACTCTGTTGGTTTTTTTAATCTCATCCTCTGAGTAGTTACTCATTAAAATATTCTGATTCCATGACAGTACAGTGTCTTGTTGGTGTCATGCTTTAAAGCTGTTTATGTCTTCAGTTTTTGTCAGATTGTGTCAACACATTTTTTTCTCTCTGACCCCAGCATGTCCAGAATGACTCTCCTTCCAGTAAGTCTTTGGCCGGTCTGGTTGTTCAGCTGCTTCAGTTCCAGGAGGATGCATTTGGGCGCAAAGTCAACAATCCTGCTCTTACCAAGCTACCTGTAAGTACAAAACAAGGCCTGGCTAAATATTTCTGTTGATGTTGTGTGTGTGGTGCATGATGTGATAATTCTGCTCAACATTTTTTTTTTTTTTAAATCATCAAATACCAATATTTGAAACAAGAAGTTGTTTATTTTTGTTGACAACTGAATCAGTGAGTGTGTGATTTGTGAATATGGTCAGAAATATATTTTTATATATAAATATTAAAATTGTTTGTGCATTTTCCATGTCTACAACATTCCATATGACTGCCAAACAATGACAAAGTTTGTGCAACTACTGTATTCAACATATCAAAACTTTTGGCTCTGATCCTTGTTATCTGGTCATTGTGCTCTTACTGAGTCTGTCTGTACCAAGACTGGCCTGGTTAACCTTAGTTTTGGTGGTCATACTCACCCGAATGTGTTTTGCATTGAGAAGATATGAATGTGAGCTTAGTTGTTTTTTTTTGTCTGTAATTTGTTTATTGAAATAATCTTTGTTTTCTCTCCTATTTTCAGGCCAAATGTTTTCTTGATTTTAAGGCAGGAGGCGCTCTCTGTCACATCTTGGGGTCGGTCTACAAATTCAAGAGTGAGCAGGGCTGGTAAGTTTTATTCATAACCTTGAGAGGTTATGAACTTGCTGTTTAAATGTAGTGGTACCTTTTCTCCTTTAGATTCTTTAATTGACTTTTCACTGTTAAATTCTGCATCAAGAAGTAGTGATATTGTTTGATTTTGTAATTTGTTAGAACAGCAGAGCGGCTTCCAATTGGTGCTTTATCAATTTCCAGGCGCAGATTTGACTTGCAGAATCCTTCCAGAATGGACAGGAATGTGGAAATGTTCTTAAATGTTGAGAAGAACCTGGTCCAAGTATGACTCGTTCCCTTAAACTCACTAGATTATCAGATTAGATTTACCAGATTACTAAACGCCTACATCAGTTCGCAAAATTAACTGTTTTGTAATGTGTCTGAACTCCTAGAACAACTGCCTCACTCGACCTATTGTCTACCTGTCCCCGGACATCGAGCAGAAACAGGCCAGTAAACTCAAAGACATCATCAAAAGGCACCAGGTGAGCTTTAAAACAAGGAAGATCAGATAATAGAAGTTTTCTAGAGAAACTTGTATTTCCAATAGTTAATTTTTGTGTTTCTCTTCTTACATTCTTTGCTTTTTACCCTCTCTACCTCAGGGCTCCATGACTGATGACAAGTCTAAAGCCACTCACCACATCTATCCCTCAGCACCACAGCAAGATGAAGGTAAACAAAAACGTTTTTAAGCTCCAAAACCATTAAACCATTAAGATTGTGTTTTGTTTGACAGCTCATGTTTATCTTGTATAAAGTCTTCATACATGTATGTCAGCATTAGTTTGTGTGTCTTACAGATGAGTGGCTTCGTCCTGTCATCAGAAAAGAGAAGCAGGTGCTGGTACACTGGGGTCTCTACCCTGACAGGTGAGCACAATGCAGAGATGTGTTAAATATTGAAATAGACTTTTTTTATATAACTTAACAATTAAGCCACTAAGTTCAAGTTTTTTGTTTAAAAGCCCTACTTTGTTAAGAAGGTCAAAAAAAACTTTTTAATTAGTCTTAATGACCAAGTTGTGACCTGCAAGTGTCTGGTGTAAAACTGTTCAGGTGACTTTTATATTTGTTGTTCAGTCGTGATTGTTTTTGTTTTTCTAGCTATGATACCTGGGTGTCAAACAATGAGGTTGATGGTGATGTGGAGGATCCTCCCAACACCGACAGACCCTGGAAGGTAAGGACAAGGGCTGAACGGAAATGAGTCGTACATGCATTCGCCATGTGCTATTGTTTATGGACCCCGCGTGGTCATGTTTGATCTGTAGAAATTTCTTTGGTGTCCTAAATTGTTCTGAAACTAACTTCTTACTTCTAAAAACACCCATGTGAGGACTTCCCCTATTTACCACAACAAAAACACAAATTTGGAGTACAGTGCTCCTCCATTCTCCAGCATCATGCAGGTCTATCTCGACCAAGACTTTGTTTTGCAGCAAGATATTGACCCAAAGAATTCTGCTGTCGGGTTTACTCAGACATAAAAGAAGAATGGTGTTCTTCAAACAATTGTTTGAACCCTTCTCTCCCCAGGCCTCTTTCCACTTGAGCCTGTGTGGAATGGACTGGATTTGATTACTCAGCAATAGAGCATCCCATGAATCAGCAGTTTCTTATTGATTAACTTGAGAAACCTTAGAATGCAGTTTCTGGTGCATACTTAAAAATCTTGTTGAACAAATGCCTGGCATAATTTATGCTGCTTTCAAGCCAGAGTTGATTACTTAAACAAGCACAGTTAAAGCAAGAAAAATACAAATACTTGGTTACTGTAGTGACATTGTATAAGTCACACATTTTTAGATAATCATGTTTATTTTGTAGCTGACTAAAGTATAGTAAAACTGTGATATCTGAATATGCTCAGTAACTTTTATCTTTTTATCTTCACTGTGTTTTGCATTCATTTAGCACTTTACAACAAAAATATAATATGCTGGTACTATTGTCACTCATTACTTCATTAGTATTATTATTCTGCAACAGTGAAATAATGCTAATCGGACAATGTGTCTGTATAATATATGATGAAAAAAATTATCATCTGAGCCTCGATTGTCTGGAACAGCATCCCTGACTTCCTGTGCTCTTCTACTATAATCAGGTGCACGCCAAGTGGGTTTTAGACACAGATGCCTTCAACGAGTGGATGAATGAAGAAGACTACGAGGTGGATGAGAACAAGAAGCCAGCCTGCTTCCGCAGAAGGCTCTTTGTCAAGGAAGAGGAGGTATGTGCTGCTTCCGTTTCATATTTTGTTGTGAAAATTTCCATCCCTGAGGTTCAGAGAGGTGGATGTTTTCAATATTTTATTGCCACTCGACTGCCTCTTGATGGAAATTTTCTGAGCACTAAATCAGCATGAAGGCTTCAGTGTTTTTTGCGGCAGTATGTTTTGTTGGATGTGCTTCTGTTCTTGTGAATTGTGCTTGGTCTTTGTCTTGTGTCTCGCCTCAGTTTAGTCTGTCTGTTGCTCATCCTGTTGCCAAACCTTTCCTCTACTATGCACTTCCAATTTGCACCGGGGTTCCAGTTCATCTTTAGAAATGCTTTATTTAATCTTTTAAAGAAAAATAAAATATTTTTCCTACAAAAAATTAACTTAGTAAAATGCTATGATTTTTTTCTGTCTCTATTTAAAATATTGTCTTAAGCTTGTGTGCAAACATTATTTATGAGGAAAAATTTATAATCGCGTTACTTAGTAATTTATTGGACTAAAGCATTATCTTTTTTGTGGCACGTTTAAAGTTTTTATATTCATTTATTATTTTTCAAGTTGGGACGATACATTTTTAAGTCAGTTTATTTTATACTTTATATGGTGTGCCTTAAGTATTTGCTGCACAACCAATTTACAAAGAAATTCCCTACCAAAGAAAGTTCAATAATATTCTGCCACCAAAATAAACCCAGATGAGATGGAACCCTGAGCACTACCACCACCACAGCATCCTCCCCCCTCCCTGCCGTCCTTCTCCCTCTGCCTCCCCTCCTTGTGTGTGCAACCGTTCCATCCTCTCATTCTGCGGCTCTTTCTCTCATCCTCCATCCCTTGCTCCCTGCGCTGCATGGGGTTTATCTGATCAGTCTTCCCGTACACCTGATCGCAAGGAGCGTAAAGCCAACTCTGCCAAGAAGAGGAAGCGGTCGCCATCGCCGCCCAGTACACCAGCCGAGTCCCGCAAAAAAGGGGGAAAGAAGGGGTAAGAAAACAAATGTTACAGTATTTCTTCTAATACAAAGTCTTTAAAGTAAGCTGTGATGTTGTGGAATTAATCTTTTTTCTTGTATTTTCTGCTTGGGTTTGTTTTCAGAACAGTTTCTAGTTTGCTAGAATTATGACAAGTCAGTTTTAAGTAAATTAAGTGTCTTACTAAGTTTCTGTGGAGTTTTACTGACTCTGTCGATTAATCTCTGTTGTCAGAAATCCTGGGTCACACTGGAAACGACGTGGTCACAGGGGTGAGGAAGAGGACACAGAGGAGGATATCACTAAGGACATGGATGATTCGTCAGCTGGTGCCAGTCTGGAGGAGGGAAGCTCATCCAAAAATAGTACGTATGAGTTGGAAGAAAATTAAAAGCCACCGATTTGCAATGTTTATGTAGAAAAAGGAATATAAAGGAAAAGAAAATGGTTGAAAAACCCTCGTTTAATTTGTTCCAGTTATTTCTTAATGGGAGATAATTCTGGTCATGTTTTGTGCAGCAGGGACATTTACAACTAGGAAAAATCTAATAACTGTCCCATTGTTTGCAGAAATATGCACAAGCCTAAAGATGATTAATTTTTTAACACAGGGAAAACCATCTTGTGCTCTTGTTCCATACTTCAGACAAAACATACACGTGTTACTAAAATGCTGTTTTTAAATCGGGTCCCACTTGTAATGTCCTACTTTTGCCCAAATACTATTTTTTCATATTTCAACAGGTACCTGCTGTTGGACTCACTCTACCTACTTTTGCCTCTTCAGCATTTCAATGCTCTAGTTAATGCTTCTGTGATCACACACCTGTTATTTAGAATCTGACGACCTCCTTTTTGTCAGCAGGTTCAAAGAAAGACACTGAAAACACTCCCATTAAAGGAGGAAATGGAGCTGATTTGGGTAAGTACTTAGTCACAGTGACAGTTTTGTATGCAACCAATCAAAGGCAATGAACGTTTAAAAAGCAATGTGATTTTGTGATGTTCTGGAATAAAAAAAATGTTTTATTGAAATTCTTGCAGATGACATGGAGGATGATTCAATGTTGTCTGGAGGAAAGGTAAGATTATTGATGACTTGCTCATCAAATCAGGCCATTGGACAATATGATCACCTTTGGCGCTGACTAATTGTTTAACGTTGGTCTTCTGCAGGATGACGAGGACCAGAGTAAAAATGATAACAGCAGGCTGATGGATGCTGGTGAGGACAACGTTACTGAGCAGACTCATCACATCATCATCCCCAGCTACTCTGCCTGGTTTGACTACAACTGGTAAGACCAGAGGTGGATGTGTTGCAAATGGCATATAGCCACTGTCATTTTACCTTGGAAAATGTACTAAAATTAGCCAACGTTTTGCTATTTATAATGGTCATTTGTGTTGTGTTTTCTTTTTTAATCCAGTATTCATGAGATTGAGAAAAGAGCCTTGCCAGAGTTCTTCAATGGAAAGAACAAGTCTAAAACTCCTGAGATGTGAGTTCATTTCCACACAGTCACATCGCAATACATTTTTGACAAATGTTTTTGTCTGATGTGTCGCTGGAGAACCAAGGTGGTAACACTTTAAACTACATCTAAGTTGTCTTTTTCACGAACAGATACTTGGCCTACCGTAACTTCATGATTGACACTTATCGGCTGAACCCTCAGGAGTATCTCACCTCCACTTCCTGCCGGAGAAACTTGACCGGTGATGTGTGTGCTATAATGAGGTGAGATCAGGTTTTTTTCTGTTTCCTCTTTCAGTTTAGTCTTCATCTAAATGTTAAAATGTAAAACACTTGTGCAAGGAAACTGAACTCATTTGACACCCAAAAAATACAAGATAATATTTTAACTGACATTTTTGTGTGTCTCTAGGGTCCATGCCTTTTTGGAGCAGTGGGGTTTGGTCAACTACCAGGTGGATGCTGAAAGCAGACCACTGCCAATGGGGCCTCCACCTACACCACACTTCACGGTGCTGGCTGACACACCCTCAGGCCTCGTCCCCTTGAACCACAGACCTCCAGTAAGGGTGATTCAACTTTTTTATTTATTTTCCTTACTTTTATCCTAGTTGTACAAAGCCATCTTCAGCATTAACAAAACAATTGCAAAAAAAAAACGTCTATTTACAATGCTAGTTTTCTTCCTAAAGGTTCCCCCTCCACAGCAGATGGCCAACTTTGGAGACAAAGGCAAAGACAAATCCACTGACCTGCAGAACTTTGGCCTTCACGCTGACCTCTACAAGAAAAGTTCCAAGGTCAGCACTTGATTCACCATGGAAACCAAATGTGGTTATTGGTTTCATGATTATCTAGCTAGATGGTGGTAGTCTTCACATCTGAAGTTCCAGAAAAAACTAACTAGTTTAATGATATGTCTGTCATTTGTTTTCACAGGTTAAAGCCACTTCAACCAGGGAATGGACAGAGCAGGAAACTCTACTGCTATTGGAGGTAGGTTTTACTAATGCACAGTAAGTAGAACTGATCAAATATGGGTTTTGTTCATAAAACGTTGACATGAATCCACTTTCTCGTATTAATCAGGCTCTGGAGATGTTCAAAGATGACTGGAATAAAGTCTCGGAGCATGTTGGCTCACGGACCCAGGATGAGTGCATCCTGCACTTCCTGCGGCTTCCAATTGAGGATCCATACCTAGAAAGTACAGAGTCTACTCTGGGCCCTTTGGCCTACCAGCCCATTCCCTTCAGTCAATCTGGAAACCCTGTTATGAGCACAGTAGCTTTCCTTGCTTCCGTGGTCGACCCCAGAGTGGCCTCTGCTGCTGCGAAGGCAGCCCTCGGTGAGAAACAAGTCTTCAACTCACTAATTTCAAAAGGGACCGTTTCTCTGGCGTGGTTGGATCAAACCAGTGTTTTCTTACAGAGGAGTTTTCCCGTGTGCGTGAGGAGGTGCCTGCTGAGCTGGTGGAGGCTCATGTAAAGAAGGTTCAAGAAGCAGCTAGGAGCACAGGGAAGGTTGATCCTGCCTTCGGCCTGGAGACCAGTGGCATCGCTGGCACCGACCCTGAGGAGCCGGAAAAGACTGGTGAGTGACAAAGGTGGTAAAAAAAAATAGCTCAAAGATGTGATATGAATGTTATTATAGAAGTGTAGTAGATGGCACCTTTTTTATTTATACTATTAATAGATGGTGTAAGCTGTAATTAAAAAAACAGAATCTGAGAGATTGATCACAGGAGTTGGTTTACATTAATACCAAGTATTACTCACTTACAGCTTTTTCAGTTTTTTTTTCAACCCACAGCATCCAAATGAAAACATTTAGGTGCATCCCGAGACAAGGAATCAATGAGAGTCAGCCAAAAACGATGTACACTATAATATAGATTGTTTTATCTGAGTTCTACACTAAACTAAACCTTGTGCTGTGACACCAGTAGCCACTGGAGGGCAGCACATAGTTGCAGTTTGACAACCAAGCCTTTGCATGGCAAGATATTCTGTCTGGGGTGAGAGAGAGAGAGAGACAGAAGAAAGAAGAAAGACAGCAGACTTAGGACGAAGTGATTGGCATCTTCACCTAACACAATCAGCTGACTATGTATCAGAGTTGATCAATCAGTCTTGACATTTGAAGGTGTTGCACACGTGACCTGTGGGGGTTTTAGCAAAACTGAAATATTGGTAAGACTGTGCATGCTGCCGTGGTAACCGGTGGATTAAAACGACAGTGGCAGATGGGGCAGGAAGGAGGGGGGGTGCAGAAAACTGGGTCATCATAGACTACCACCATACACCACATATCCTTCTCCCTGTTTTAATCTGCTTGAATAAAATATTTTCCTTTCCACTCAACATACCACCAATCGTTTATTATGCCTAACCTAATGCCCTCTCGGGGCCTTATTCCAATCAATGACCTTTTGTGCGTTGTGTGCCTGAAGGACATGACCAACAAACACATTGATAGATATTCAGACCTTTAACACACACTCAAATACACCTGTGACGCGGTTTTACACTGAGCTACACGTGTGTGTTTGTTTGTTTCGATGCATTTTCACATTTAACAAAATAATTTAAATCCAATAAAATTAAACTATATATATATATATATACACACACATACACTCTTAAGCTATGAGGGACCACTATGTCTGCGCATGCGTACACTGCATGTGTAATGGATTTCTAATCATCCCATAGTCCAGTCACAACCAGCAGTTGTTGACTCCAGTTTAACCCATTGTTGGCTCTGTATTATTTGAGTGATTAGTTATGTGAACAAGTACAGGAAGCTACATGCTATCATGTTTTTCTTTCCCCCTCATGATCCTAGATGATCCAGGTCGTCTAGGACCATGGTCATCTGATGGGTTTTACCTCCACCTTAGAGTATAAGGCAATGAGATGTCTGTATTGTAAAACATACATATACGGTGTTCAAGACCACAAAATACTTTTATAAATATTTAATTATTTTTTATGTCCAGTCTGTGTAGGTTTAATAAGGTTGGTGGTTGTCCTGTTTACATTATATATTCACTTCTCTTTCTCTTTGTAGATATAATTAAAATTGTCAGAGATAAGATTTCTTTATTCTCTCTCACCCCTCAATGCCATTAGTTTTTTTGTTTAAAACAATATTAATTCAATCAACTTTTCTATTGTTTCTTCTTTATTTGCAGAACCAACAGAACCAGAAAAAATGGACACTGACACAGACTCTCAACAGGCCGACAAGGTTATTTTTTATTTTTTATATATTTATTGTTAGTTTGTAGACAAAAACCCTAACACACCTAGTAGAATACACAAAGGAATTGTGGCTCAAAATGTCTAAAACAGATGTTTTGTATACTTAATGTCAATCTGAATTTTTCTTTATCTTTCCTGTATTATCTTTGTAGCCTCTTATCTATATTTGTCTTGAGCCCTGCAAGTATATAAATAATCATATCAAAAGTGTCTTGTCATCAGCTGATAATTGTTGCTACCTGTGTCTTGATTTTTCAGGCCGAGTTGAAGGATGAGGCAGAGAAACCCAGTGAGTCTGCAGAAAAGAGCGAAAAGACAGAGGCCACCGAAAAAGTGAAGAAGGAAGGAGTTGAAGCCTCAGAGCGTGAGGATGAGCCTGAGGAAGGAGGAGAAGCCAAGGTGTCACTAACAGGTAACACCGACGTGTTAGTTTAACAGAGTATTTGGTTGAACAAAAAGCAGATGTATTTTAGTCAATAAAACATTTCAACGGTGTTTTTTTTTTATTGTGTTCATGTCACTATTCAGAAAATGCTAATTAGTGTTAATTGCATCACTTGCTAGACAAAGACAAGGAGGAGGCCATGGAGACATTGTCCTCAGAGCAGGAGAAAGACAAGGAGGACAAGGCATCAAAAGAGGAGGGGGAGGAGAAGAGAAAGAAGCTGGAGCTGGACATTGGAGAGGGAAATATCGCCACAGCGGCCGCAGCTGCATTGGCATCTGCTGCCACCAAGGCCAAGGTGAGACAGGAAATATGAAGCATTCACTTTAATCCTCATATTTATGCAGTTTCAACATATGGAAATCAGAGAAGAGGAAACCATTAACTATTAAATACCAGTTTATTTTCCACATTGGAGCGATAATCCCAATTACTTTCTTATTACTCCTGTCTCTTTGTTTGTGTTTTTTAGCACTTGGCAGCAGTCGAGGAAAGGAAAATCAAGTCCTTGGTTGCTCTGCTGGTGGAGACCCAGATGAAGAAGCTGGAGATCAAGCTGAGGCACTTTGAGGAGCTGGAGACAATAATGGACCGGGAGAAAGAGGCGGTGAGTAAAAGTACAAGGTCCTGCTGTGATTTGTGGTTGGTAAAGATGAGAGTAATGGAACTTATTTAACAGCTCCGGTCCTCATCGTGTAAATAGGTAAATGGCAGATCATTGGATTTTAAATGTATATATATATAGTTTTGTTATGGGCTTTTAGTTGTTTGCACTTACTGTATTAATAATGCACATTGTCGTCACACCCTCTGCTTAGAGCTTAAATTAAAATAAAGGCACAAGTAAATGTGTAATTTTTACAATCTGCCAACATTTAGATATTATCACCCTTTACCGACTATGCTTAACTCTGTGTGCTACATTTTTAATCAGCAAAGAGATGTATATGTTTATCCCCAAGCTTTTTAATGGTTACATATCTATATTTTTTAATATGGAAATGAAATGTGTCTTTTAGGATTTCTATTTAGCAGTGAAACTGCAGAGAGAATTCAATCTTTGTGAGAAAACAAAAGTAAAAATAAAACATTTTCAGAAAGAAGCAGTTTGCAGTTTTTGGCCATGAGAAGTGTTACCTTTTTTTAAGGCAAATTACAACCCCTTGGCGCCGCATCTATGTGTGTGTGTGTGTCCCCTGCCTCTGCACAATCCCTGGAGACCCAAGCATGAGTGTAAAACTGTGTTTTTGCGGTAGAGGCATCAGGAGAGTAGCCCAGTTTCACAGCTGTAAATAGTGCATGAAAAAGCCTCTGGTTTGCATAAGCTTTGTGGAGCCTGGAGAGAAACCAGGACGTGTGGTGCTGCTGCCATTGGCAGTAAAACGGAAGGCTTCTAAAAAAAAAAAAAAAAAAAAACCAACATGTTCACAAACAACACCAGGACACAGTGTTTTATCCACAGACGCTGAAGCTCAAAAACCTCCTCTACTCTTCTTTCCATTAAGAAAACATTTATTTAATAATTTTCTGGTGATCTGCCTTTCTTTGCTCTGGAGACGATGTATGCAGGAGAATTTGTTTTATAAATTCCAGGATTGGTAGGATTGACTAATTGACGCCTTCTATCAGTCACAAAGTAAAAGAAACAGCTGGACAGTAACACACAAACACACCTTTTTATTTTTAGGGCTTGCTCCAAATTGTGTGTGTGTTGTGAACGGTTGGACAGTTGAACTGTCTTGTTAAGATCTGTGGTCCAAACGAAGGTCATATACTAGTATAGGTGAGCAAACATGAATAGAAAAAGAACACCGTATTTGACTACGAAGAGATCAACAAATGTTTCTACTTTCCTCCAAATAGCTTTTTTGAAACCAGTTGATGAAAACAAATGTATCCTCTCATTCTCTCAGCTGGAGCTTCAGCGACAGCAGCTTCTCACTGAGCGTCAGGCGTTTCACATGGAACAGCTCAAATACGCCGAGATGAAGGCCAGGCAGCAGATGGAGCAGCAGGCAGCTGCCGCAGCAGCCGCGGCTGCAGCAGCGCAGGGCCAGGGACATGCTCCTGGATCTGGACCACACCACGGACCCCCGCAGCCAGGTATGCACTCTGGAGGACCACCTCACCATGGAGGCCCATCACCTCATCATGGGGCTCCACCACCCCACCACGGAGGGCCACCACCTGGTGCTGCAATCCACCCTGGCTTCCCCCCGATGGGTCACCATCCTATGGCCACTCACCACCCTGTACCGACAGGTGAGTCATGGTGTTTATTCAACTGCTTTTTTAACATCACTGTATTTTCAAGTCTAATTGTGTATCATTCTTACCTTCTACCCATCATGCCCTGCAGGACCAATGGGACCAGGCCAACCAATGCCTGGACGTATGATGTCAGGACCCCCTTCTGGAGGACCTCCTCCTGGAGGCATGCCTCCCATGATGCCCCCGCGTCACCCTGGAGCTCCCAATGGCATGTGTGAGTACAAATCTTTCGACCCTAACACAATGTTTTTGTTTGTTTGTGCTGTTTTGGACCATTTCATTTTCCCACGTCAGATGCAGTTGTACACAGTAGTGGAGATCCATTGAGTGGACATATTATTACCTTTCTTTAAATTCACCACATATCTGACCCTTCTCTTCCCAGACCCTGGCCCATCACCTGCACAGGCTGAAGCGGTGCCTGCACCCCCTGTGGGAGCTCCAGTGCCCCCGAGTGGACGAGTGGCTGATAACTAAAACCGTTACACAAGCTTACACACGTGCACACACATCTAAACAAAAGCACACAAAACACAAAACCTAACTCTGTATGTGAACCACCAGATTCATTTTAATGGCCTTTGCTGCTGGCTCTACCTTGTTGCCCAGTACTCAAATCCCTAATAAATATCACAGGACACACACATAAATACATACACTGTCTCAGGGTTCAGTGGCAAATGGTAACCCAATTTTTCTTCCCCCCCACACACGTACATCCAGACTTCCTCTCAGGGCACAGGAGCAAAAGGCTCATTTAGTACTAAACACTGTTTCTGCTCTGTTGGGCCAAGTGGAGGCTGGAGACAATGACTCTGTACAGAAGCAAACTTGTGACACAACACAGTTTAAAAAAAAATCAAAATACAACTGAGTCTATCTCTACATCCTTCCCTCTATGCTGTTTGAATTGACACTGTAATCTCAATCCTAACTCACACGCACGCCTCTCTCTTTTGGTCCGGTGCCTCTTTTTTCATGCTACAGGGAGTTGGTGACCCTGACAAACACACTTAATCCAAACTCCTTGCAACCTTCACACAGCCTTTACCAGAAAGATGGACGCTGTTGAGTGTTTAGACTGAAACACAACACCATTAGATGGCGCTCTTCCTCAGCACAGTGGGTCTGTAGGAATTTTGTAGGTGCTGATACTGTAGCAAATAAAACTGTCACGTCTTCTCACTTCCTGCTTTCGCTCGAGCTTTCCCAACACCTAGCGCTACTAGCTACCTCGCTAACCCTCGCCCCGACTGTTCTTTGTTCCTTTGCCACTCGTTTCTCAGCAATACCTTCAATTATCTCAAATGAAAAGCAGAGCATTCACATGGGAATAACCACTAACACATTACGCTCCATGTTACATCTGATGTGATATAGTAATCTGTGAATTTGTTCGGGCAAATCACCGACCAGTGTGTTGCTCACAGACACGGTCATGTTCACTTGTAGCCTTTCCTTGAAGCTGTCGGTCTTAATAAAGACACCTGTAGTTGGTTTCTTTGACGTTTTTAAATTATTTACAGCCCAAGAAGAAAATAGTCAATGACATTTCACAGTCTCATATATACTTGGCTAGCTTTAGGTCATCAATGCTAATGCTAAATACCTTGCGGTTTAAGGTTTTTCTCACCTTTATTGAACGTGAAGATGTTTTGAGTAGTAGTAGGATTGAAGAACTCTGTTGTCTCCACAACAGTATCAACATCCATATATTGTGACCACAGTGTCTTTTATTTCCTGTTCCACAGCTTCAGATTGTATCAAAAATGTCTCAGCCAAAAAAACTTGAACTATGTTAATTCTAAATGTTCATATAAATTGTTTTTCTCCATATTAGGGCATCTTTTCTCCTAAACAAAATCAGTCATCAGTTGCAAAAATCTATAGAATTATTTCTGCTTTAAAGCAAGTGACTTCAGATGTCTTTTAGCTCCTGATTCTGTGACTTTTTCTCCCTTAAGTTTTTGGTTCTTTTTCTTTTATTTTCTTTATATTATCCAATAATCAGATAACGTTGTCCTTTGGCATTATGTGCTTGTGAGTGTTGATGCGCAGTGACATATCGCAGCTAATTAGTCTGACTCTGATGAGACCACTCCTGCCTCCCCCTACGCTTGCACTGTTTGCATCTCTGCTACCTCTCTGCGGTCGGCCTGTTAGCTACCTCTTCTAGATCTTTTCCTTCTTGCTTCTTGCTACCTCTCTGCTCAGCCCCGTGCTACCTCTCCTTCCTCTTCCTTTGTGTCCTCTTTAACCTTTTCTTTTTCCTTCTCTGCCCACGTGACTGCTGCATCACTGACTCCTCGTCGTCCCACAGT